TTAAAATGGCCCACCCTGTATATACATATATGTATGTGTATCTCTTATCTCATTTTAAACTGATTTAAAAGTAATCCATTTACATATCTATCTAGCCTTTAAAATTTACAAAACCTTTATAAAATAATTCATTAATAATTTATGCGTCTCTTTTTATCGCTGCGAAATCTTATTATATGGCGGATAATTTGAATTTAATTAATTGATATTTAATTAATTGGTATAATAAAGAAAACTGTTTGCATTAATAACTGAAAAATCTGCTTCTCATTATGCATTGCCTTTGCTACATTTTTAATAGCCAATCATTAATCTCGAAAAAAATTACCCTGATAAGAATCTCTTTATTTTCTCCTTTTTCAAATGATAAACAACCTTTTGTTTGTCGGAATTTTGATGTCGCCTGTTGTTCCGTAAATTTGATATCGTCTTTTGTTCAAGAATTTTGACATTGTGTTTATCATTTTTGTAAACAAAAAATCAAATTTTTGCTAAATTTTAAAATTGCATCTGCAAAATTGCACGAATGCATATCATAAAGCAATTCAAATTAGATGTTCAGCAACGATCAAGCTGTTGATAAAAAGGTAGGGTAGATACAAAGCTGCGATTCACGTTTCTAATTAACGCTACATCGCAAAATTTATCCGTTTTTCAATGAACCTAGCAATGAGAATTCTATGAGAGCGTGCTTCGGAAAAGCGGAAAGCGAAAGCAGGAATAAACGGTATTGCGCAAACCGTCGCTATTTCCGTCGTTTTCAAGCGAAGGAACGAAGCGGGGCGGAGACAGGTATATCTGCGAAACAGTCACATTTTACGATCTCTCGCCGCGGGCCATGAATATCGCAAGCATAAAAGCGCTACGGGAGAGAAAAAGGAGGAGCTCGCGGCAGCTCCCGTTTTAAAAAACGCAGCGGATAATTGTTCATGGATCGCTTTGAGACGGCACTGCGTCGACCTGCCTCGCCGCATCATCCACAAACTCCGTGAAGAATTAATTCCGTAGCTGGATGCCGCGTTTTTCGGTGTAGATATGTGTCAAGTATATATTCATCTACGAGTGTCGTACAAGAAAATTGAACGGCAGAAAAGTTTTGTTACCGTGATACTTCTTATGCATGTGTTTTTATTAAAGCCTAGCAACGTATAATTACGACTAATACTCGTCATTTTCATTGGGACATAAATGTTTAATCTAATGTATAGTTTCGTAATAAGTTTACGATAATTTAGTTTACGAATGAACAATATTAATAATAGTAATAGCTTTCAATTGCATATGTTTCAAAATTATTGTTACTTAATTACGGATTATGAAATTAACTAACTGGATTTTGTTTTAGCTGTCATTTAGCGTGTTGTAATTGCGACTCTTTAAAATTATCTGGATTATATTTTAGCTGAATGAAATTGGTCAATTAACTTGAATTCTGTTTCAACAAATTGGTTGAAAATAACATTTGACTTAAATAACGAATAGTTTTTATCATTTTTAAGCTGTACGTAAGAAGATAAGTGAATTAATTTTCCCAATTTATTTTCAATTAAATTAACTTAAATTCTGTTTCAACAAATTGTCGAAAATAACATTTGACTTAAATAACGAGTAGTTTTTATCATTTTTAAGCTGTACGTAACAAGATAAGAGAATTAATTTTTCCAATCTATTTTAAACAAATTTGTTTTTAATTCAGAATTTTGATGCAGATTGTATCGACGTTGAACATTAAAACATCATACACGCAAAACATGGTGTATCTGTTCAAGTGGTAGTTTAATGAAAATTATTTCAATTTTATTAAAGAATTTATAGAAAAGTAATGACAAATTAAATGGGAACATTCCTCAAAATAAAGTCAAGAATAAACTATTTAAAAGTTAAAAAGTAACGACTCTATTATCATACTAAAAGAAAAGTGTTTTCGCAAGCCATTTATCGAGCAATAATTTCCAAAAGTTGACAAACTGCGAAAGGTCAAAAGCATTCGAAAAAGTATAAATGAAAACAACGGTCATAAGCCTAAACGAAGGGGAACTTTACCTTATCAGGACGTAGTCTATCCCCGATAATCCGTACACTTAAAATCTCTCGTAGCAGCTAAACATCACGAACCGCCCTTTTAACGGCCTTAGGAAAACACGGTCATCACCTTTCAGCACCATTCACGACGGTCTTGGGGCGCGCTACCCCCGCGGGAATCACGTGTCCAACGCACGAAACGATCGCGCAAACTCAAATTAGGAATTCTTCAAGATGCACTTCAGAATCTCGCGACCGATCTCGCGGACTCAAGTCCTTTCATCTTGTCCTGTCATAGTCATGTAATCTCTGTCCCCGTTTTTTCACAAGATTCTGATTTTTCGAGTCAGCCGGGAGGGGTTTCTTGTCAAAGTACGTTTGAATTGCGAAACCTTCTGGATTGTATTCGCGGAGACCCAATCGAGCGTCCTGAAGTCGGTGCGGTTTCTATCGACGGTCACGTGGCGAAGGTACTCGGTGCCGAGCGGAGCCGGCGGAACGCGTTGCACCGTCTCGGTGATCCGTCGGGGACTGCGTTTGCCACGGCTCCCCACCAGGCGTCTCGGGGGTTGGACGCCCCCGCGTCGGTTCGGCACCCCGACGCGCGACGTCGCTCCGCCTCCACGTGGAACGCCGAATCCCCACCTTGTGAGTGTGCCAAGGGTCTGATCCCCGGTGGACGCCGGCGGCGTCGTCTTAAGTTGACCGCGACTCCAAGGAGTCTTGCCGCTGTGGTCACCGGCGAGCCGGTGAGCCTGAAGATGCTAACGATATCATGGTTAAAATCTAGGTAACTTTGTAAGAAACAGATTTTTCTTTTCAATGGAAATGTGCAGTCATTAATAAGGCTCGCGCTCCTCATTAGTCAAAATAGATAAGATTTTGTATTACCAAAACTCACGAGTGTTAATTGAGAATTAATTACGATACCATGATTAAAATCTCGGTAATTTTGTAAGCAGCAGATTTTTCTTTTCAATAGTAATGTGCAGTCATTAATAAGGCTCGCGTTCCTCATTACTCGAAATACTCAAAATAGATAAGATTTTGTTTTACCGAAACTCTTTCCACGAGTGTTAATTGAGAGTTAACTTTGATCAATTTTCTGCCACGTACTAGCATTAAAAATACAAAAAAGCAAACAGGTAATCTGGCAACAGAAGTAGAAAAAACAGGCACAGCCAGACACTAGAAGTAGTAGTAGAAAAGGGTGTAGAGTCAGACAAAGTCAGACTTTTCCAATAAGGCGAACCAAAGTTTAGTCAAATGTATTAATTTTATTTTCGTATAAAGGAAAACTCTTCATATTTCTCTAACATAAAAAAATTCGGTAAAACTTGTACCCGTAGTTTCTTTTGTTATAAAAAAAACCCCCGCTGTGTGTAATATTTACTATATTGAAATAGTTATCGAAGAAATGTGCAAGCAGCGATTCAATAAGAGCAAATCGATAACAAAATTTATTCATAACTTCAATAATCTCAAAAGAATGACACTATTCGCAAATTGCGCGTCATTTGCGCTAATGCGTGTACGGCTATGCTGTGTCCGTGGCAAAGAATTCCTCCGCGCCTTCATGTTTATTCAGCATTTTTAAATGGCTCTCTGTCTCTCTCTTGTTATTCTCCACTCGCACCTTCCTTTTATTCTCGCGCGTCGGTGGTATTGCATTTCCTCGCATAAATTTAATAATTAAAGGCGCGGGACATCGGAAACGCATTTAATATTGAAATAAAGTGCCGCCGCTTTTCGCGCGGTCAAATCCTATTCGCGTAACAAGATAATGCAATACGGAATTGAATTTATGCGATATTCATAGCATGAACGATTTGATTGCGGACGCGGCGGTCGAATAAAAATTTCACACTCGGCAAATATACACCCAACACCCAATTAATTTCCGCATGATACGCGACGCGTGAAACCCCCTGGGTTTCGCAAATGAATATACTTTCCGTGGGACATGTGTTACGACAATCTTTTATGCACGCGCGTATTTCCATAAAAATAAATTGTTCCGCTCTTCAATGTTTTACTATACTATTTTCGCGCACCGGCAAAATTTGTTTGCGGCGATAAAACGAGTTCTTACCTTAAAAATGTTTAAAACTTCTAGTCGATTATACTCTGGTCGTTTCTTACATTGATTTTGCAATACCGAATACGCCGATGTTGTAATTCCGAGTGTCATAAAACATTCTTAACTGTTTTACAAGACATGTTTACATGGAAAAGTAACTCAATAAAGAATGGAAGAACACACACACACACGTGTGGGCGTGGAATAAATTTTTATTAACTCGTAAAATTTTTCGTGTCGCTAAATACGTTTTCGCAGTTCCAAAGGGATCGCCCCGGAATAATGAAAGGGGTAGAAATGTCCTGCAGTTTATAGTCCTCCCTTTGGAGTTCCGCATTATTAAAACTTTGTATTCGCACTGACTTTATACTCACCCGGTCGTAACTGGTTAATAAATATTATGGCCTTTTATCGAGTCGATTTTGCAAATGTAGTCTCTTATCTTTTGGGGGAAAAAATAATGAAAGATAAAAAAAGTGTAAAACAGGGGTAATTAAAAAAAATCCGGAATATTCTTAAAATAAAACGCAGGTATGTGACGGTGCCGTTTTCTAACGGGCTATTCTGTATATTCAACTATTATTACTTCGTGTCCTAGACGCACAAGACAAGCGTCATTAGCAGCATTAGTAATGAATGCCCATCGAGGACAACGTGCGGTCCTACAAACTAATTGCGATCCCAAACATACACACTACGTCCAAAGCAGTCATACGCGCGCAAAAAGAGGCTGCAGATGCGTGCACATGCATAGAGCTCTTTACGCATGTATCACATCGGCTCCATTAACGAAAATTTCCGACCTGACCCCGTCTGTTCAATTTACGTTGAAACGCGATCGTAATCAACTTTGTCGATTGAGCAGATACCGATGCGCGGCCCTTAATATCAGGAAATTTCATATTTCCTCCATTTAAACGCATAATTCGATCCAAGTACATTAATTCTCCGGCCTGTGGCGGTAGTCGATTCTATATTCGTTCCAGATTATTAGTATTTGTCTGAAAGAAAATTTGGCGCTCTAAGTGCCACGATAAGATGTGATCCTTCAAATGTGAAAAGTTTTTTACGTTGCAAAGATAATGCATGTCTCAGGAAAATAATATACGTTTCTTAAAGTGTAAATTACATTTTGTAAGTTATCGTTAATATAAAAAATTATAAAAGTTTAAAACCTAAAACTAGATAATGTGATCACTTAACAATTTTTTATTCCAATCCTTTCGTATCTTTCTACAAATTAGCTGAATGAAATATTTACAAAAATCAAATTGGCGCATAAGTCTAAAATATTTGGTGTCTATTACAAAATACTCTTCTATACTATTAAATAAGCTCCCCGCACTTTATTCTCAGGCATCTGAAGAAATCGCACGTCTAACAGCAATATTTGACTGCGAACCGTGAAACAACAGAGCGCTCGTACGTCACCGCGATATTAATAAAGAATATTTCAACTCTGCTGATCGCGAAATATTTTCGCGTTACATTTCCCGAAGACTTGAGATACGAGTGTTTTTCGATGAAACTCTCGTGGCGCGCGTCCTCCTCCTTTCGCCAGGTCCGAGGAAAAAGAGAGCGCAAGACATTCACCCTTTTGCTCTCCTTACTCGACCCCCTCCCCCTCCGGGTCGAAGGTGGTGACATCGGTGTATGTCTGTGTGTGTGTGTGTGTGTGTGTGTGTGTGTGTGTCGAGTGTTTTTATTCCATTACCCCAGCAGCACAGCGCCATCCTCTTAACCACTTACTTAACCCACGACCTTCGGCCTTGTCTCCCCCGCGTTCGCGCTTGATGGCCTTCGAAAACTCAAATATTATCCGTCGTTCGATCCTGTCCCCGCTGAGAACGGGGACACCCCAGGGGCCATAAGATCTCGAGGATCCTCGCGATTCCGTTCCTCTCGCCGGAGGAGAGGTGTCTTCCTTCCCGGAAGCGTCTTAAACCTAATTCTCGTCGGCCCTGACAGCGTCAATAATGTTTCTATCGGCCACCGTGATTCTCATTCGATTACGTGCCGCGAGTGCCGATACACCGTCCTCATTACACGCCTCACCGTCAATTCATGCCAATCTTTTTTAAGACGGCAGCGTTCGCAATCACGAAACGACTTACCCATCTTGGGCGTCTCAGCAGAGGCATGATTGAAAAAATTGACTTAAGAAAAGTTTTATCGTTCAAAGTTTTTAACACATAACACATTTCGACGGTGAAATTTTTTCCGCAGGAGACACCAAGCTTTCAGTACACCCAACACTTGTATACGAATTATTTTAACAAATTGGGAATTATTTTTGCAAGAAAAATTAAGTTTATACAATTAAAGGTGACGAAAGAATAATTTTTTACAGAAAATCTGATCCTCTTCATTCACTTGAAGGTTTAAAAAATTTAAGATGTCAACCGAATTGTAATATTTAATATTAATTAGATACGTAAGAGAGATGTTATGATTTAAAAAACATGTCATTTGAATGGATCGAGGAGTTGTTAAAGTGTCGTATCTTGCACAATAACAGGTCACGATAATTAAAGGTTTTCTGTCAGTTAGAATAAAATATTCGTTCGACTGTAATCCTGCCGGAAACGATAAAGCCCCGAATACGACGTAGCCGATTGAGCAATAGACAGATAATTACATAAATACATCGTTGGTTACACTTAGTTGACAACGTGTCTGTAACTTCGTATTGAAGGAAACATCGTTTTTTTTTCCTAAAATTAGAATTCGATTTTATTCACAGCGAAAGTTTTCCCAAACGTAATCTTTCCACATGTGCAACGTGCAATTTTCATCTCCGTCGATTTTGCGCCGCGGTAACGCGAGCAGGTCGAAAACTTGGCGCAATCGCGCATCGTCCGAGTTTTTATCGCGCGGCGCGCACTGCGCATTTGCGCGAAATTTGCGTCCGCAACACGTGAGCCCGGAAATCTACTATTTCACTTCGTTAATGAAAGTGATAACGCCCGGAATGAGATGCAAATGGCCGCGGGATGTGGTTGAAGTGCAGATACCGGCCGGATGGGTTTTTACCTAACGCCCCGCGCGCGGTCGAGCATAATGCGTCCCTTTTTACTCTTTCAAATCGGATCATTTCTATTTCTCTCTGTCAACCGGTCGTGTGTTTTAATGCGCGACGTTTCGGAAAGGCGCAACTGGCCGAATTTTGGAAGCTTAATACGGCGTAACGCGTTGCCTCGAACGGAATAATTAAGAGCGTCCCATATTCCATCCCGCGGCGCGGCCGTATTTCCGCTTTTGCGAACTTTTGCCTTTGCAAATCTCGTTGCATTAAAAGTATTAGCAAGCTCTTTCAGTAGATTTTAAACTTGCCGTGGATAACTTTAATCTTCTCA